TGATTAACTGCATCTACACTGATCTGAAAACTCAGTTTAGCTGAACAAATACAGCAGGTCTATGTCACAATGGCAAGTGCCACATGTGCTACCTCCCACTTGTGTGGTAGCCCCCAGAGAGGCTGTGCAAGGTGCCACGCGGGCTGCTCAAGCACCAGCTGTGCTCAAGTGTGCATGTGCTTGTGAGCTCTAGGGTTCATGGTAGGAACTGGTTAAGTCTTCTCTTGACTCTGGCTTGAGGCCACCCTCCAAAAGGTACAGATCAAAACGTGTATCTTTGTGTGCCAAGTGGCTGTCAGCAGTGGGGTGGAACGAAGAGGCTTGCATTCTCAGACTCCTTTTTAAAGGTCTCATTACTTGGGGTATTTGCTTGGGAATACACAGAATTAGGAGAGGGGAAAAAAAACGGTGCTGTGAGCAAACTGTATGGACATGGTGATGAGGAGAGTGCAGGGACAGCAAGAATAGGGTAAGCAGAGGAAGGCAGCTGTTCCTACTGTGGCCAGCTTGGTGATGATGTGGGGAACTGGCTGGAAGATGTGCAGAGGACTATGGCGCAGGACCCTCTGTCAGGTTCAAACTGCAGATGTGTAAGAGAGCTGTAAGCATTGCCGTTGTCTTTCACTGGCCAAACTCATTTCATATACTAGCACTTCCTTGTGTCTTGCTGTCCCTTCTCCTCCGTGATCCCTCTACAACCTCCCCACTCCCACATCCTACCGACTGACCTGTGCAGTTCCCCCTGCCCCAATGTGATCCCCCTTCTATCGCCTGCTGTGCCACTGCAGCCTGCACTTAACAAGCTCTGATTTCCCAAAATGGGGAAGGAGAGGAATTCAAAAGCCCCTGTTTGCCTCCTCTACCTTTAAAACCCTCCTGTTCCTAGCAAGGGGAAGCAGAGCCCAGCCTGGCTCCACAACCCTTTCTCCTGGGACCTTGCACGATGCACAGTCCCAACATGTGCCATCAGATTTTGTATCTCCATTTCTCTCTACCCTCTTTTCTGCTGCAGCACTGTTTCCTCCTGTCAGGGATAATGAGGTCAGGGCTCTTGGTGCTGCTCTTATCCTTGCTCTGACTGTTGCGAATCACTCATCGCTGTTGTTGCAACTTCCCAGATACCTCTACCTGGCTCTCCTCTCAATTCTTAAGTCCTTCTCCTTTCTGATTTTTTTCTTTCTCTCTGGTTTTAAAAACACTGTAGTGAAAGTAAGAAAGTTGTGAAGACAGAAAGCCAATTTTAGCTGTGGTACAAGCAAATGCAGCTTCTGTTTCTTGGGCGTTATGTTTGCTAACTCCAGAGTGAGTTTAGCCTGTAACTGGTGCTGTTGAAAACTGTTGCGGGCAGAATTTGCATGTTTGCTTTCAAGGCAGCTGTGATAATAGCAGCCTAAACAGTTGCTCTTTCTGGGTCGTCTTTATAAAACTGATTTATCATATCTACCAGAGAGGTGATTTGTCTCAGTGATGTTACTTCTCTACCAGTATAACCTGGTAATATCCTAGATTGCTTGCAGGCTTTGGATCCAAAGCCGCCTGGTGCACCTTCTTCAGGCTCTTGCAAAAACCTGGATCTGGAGGCTGAGTGGCAGCCCTGTGAGCCCTGGCCTCCTGCAGTCTCCCATGAAGAAGAGCCCCCCAGTTTGAGCATCAGTAAAATCCATAACTATCGTATGCTGCAACACAGGTGTGCCAAGATACGCTTCTTGATGACATAGAGTTTTTCATGATAGAGCGTATATGTGATGAGCTCTTGATTAAATTCTCCTGCTAACAGCTTAGTGTTTTGACTCAAGCATGTAGAAAAGATCCTAGCCTTAAGCTCCTGTTCTTGAAGTGAAGCTTGCCCTGTAGCCTTCATGACGTTGTTAGTGGAGTATCTGAGAGCAGGCAGCTAGACTGAACAGGATGTTGCAAGGCTAGAAATAGTAAATGATACTTACTTGTGCCATCGTTCTTCGGGATTACTCTGGGAATTGGATTTCTTTTGGAAATTAATGAAGAGCCAGTCTTTTTGCAATACTACTAGTGTCTTCTATTTTCTTCGTCCATTATGAGACAAAGGAATAGGCTAAGTGGCACTCTGGTACCTCCCAGGGGCTGTGTTCCCATCACATGGAGAAGGTCCGGGCATTCAACAGCAGGGTTCCCTCTGTGCATCCCTGACTGCATCAGTCATCTCCCTTATACAGAATAGAAAACCTCCCCACCTAGAAGAAAAAGTGCTCAGAGAAATGTTACTTAAAGTATGCTTTGATCCCTGCAGTGCTCTTTTTTTCCTGCAGAGGGGGCAATCCGGCCCGACCTTTGGAATGCACAATTTTATGGGAGAGGCAAATCCACTTGAGTTTTAAGTGACGGTGCTGTTTTTCTCTTCAGATCTCATCCTGCAGTCCAATCTTCAATAAAACAAAATTGTTAGATTCATTCTTTAAGAATCTGGCATCTATATTGGCAATCAAGCCTACAAATTGTGCCTCCTGGTTGAACTCAGTAGACCCACAGCTTTGTGTAATTGAGACTGCAGCATGATAAAGAGTTCTGTTATGGCTTCACGTATTGATCGGTCCAATTTAATTTCCTCATGGGACCTGGACCATGCTAGGGATGATGGATTGTGTTGAAGGCCTGATAAGCCTGTTTTAACAAAACATCTCAAGGGCTTCTGGAACAGAGGCAATTATCAATACTGGTACATGTTTCCTTTCATCAAAAGTTAAGGGCTCATTAATAGGCTGCACAGCAGCTGCTGTTTGCAACACATGACTTTTTTTTAATTAACGTGAAGATACTGTTTCCTCAGCCTTATGAGTTGGCTGTTTTCAGAAGGAAAAGAAACTGGGATCCAGGTTTTGATTTTAATGATATGTGTGATAGCAGTATCTCCTGCACTGCTATATTCACCATTTTGGTAATGGAAGCCTAGATTATATTTTACAGTAATAGTCCCATCCCACTGGTTATCCCCATGTTTAAACTGCGCATACCCACAAATCCTGGTGTTTTACAACCTTTGAATTTTGTGTCAGGTTACTGACAATGTCTGCTATTTTTAATGTTAGTATTGCTGGTTAAATAGTCTCTTGTTGTAACTTGGCAATCAGCATTTTTGTTCAACATTGGATATTTCAAAAATGTTTTTAAACTGTGTTTATTTTAGGCTCTCAGTTATGAGAAGGAAGCTCATTGTTGCTTCTGACTGTTTTACCTTTCCTATACAAAAATCCTAAACATTTAATTTATAATCTATTTGATGTAGGTGTGCTGTGGGAGTTAAATTTATACTGCTATTTAATGTTGCAAATTGGATGTATGGAAAGAAAATGATCAAGGCAAACTGCTATGTTAAACTTGATTTTTATACACAGTTTTCAGATGAGCTTAGGGCCTTACAGAATTGTTTTCCTTAGCGAGTAGGAGTTGGTTTTGTTTTGTTTATTCATCAGAAAACAATTTAAACCATTTAACACCTGCTATAGTGTTTTCTGATTTCTTTTCCATTTCACACACGTTATCTCATTAATTAGCACAGTTCTGCTCATTAATGCATGGATTAAAAGTTAGCAGCCATGCGTTCCAAGGAATATTGGAAAATACCTTTGTTTCTAATCATAGTTGAATGTGGATGGGTGATACCTAGAAAAAATGGGAAAGGTATTTGGGTTGCAGGAAATGTAATTGCACAACGAACTAAATTTGGTAACTTGCTCAAAATCCTATGTTGCATGTTTGGCGCTTTATGAAAAGTGGCACCTTACCTGATTTTTCTGCTTTCCGTGATGTCTGACCTTCTAGAATAATTTGTTCAAGTGAGAATTACAGTTTTCATAATTAAAAAAGAAATATTTAGCACTGGTAACTGTTACTTAAAATTGCAAGTCAAATTTTTCTCAGGAGGTCAGAAATAAGAAGTTGATGAAAAGAATACACTTTAATTCTCTAGGTATCCTGGAATTCTTTTGAAGTTGTGAGTCATATTCAACCATTACTGGAATTCATGGTACTGAAGATCCCATCAATGTTTAATGGGAGATGGCTGGTATCATTAACGGCCCTCCAGGCTCCTGTTTACTGTCACTTCTTTTCCCCAGTTACTTTCATAACTAAAATGTGAAGATGAGTGGGTTACTTTAAATTACCTTCAGCAATGATTAATTCAAATTAATTGCCTAATCTTACAAACACTGGAGCACTGAAAGAACAATAATAATGTGATAAATCTCCTAAAGTCACCTAATATTAAGTATATTCTGGGTTTAGTCCTGCAAACATACTGATGGGGCCAATTCAGACATTCCTGTTCCTGTGAGGGAGCCAATGTGCTTTTACCCAATAAGTAGCTCCTTTTGATTTCAGTGGCCTATAATCCTGATTAAAACTGTGCAGTTCAAAGTGGTAGATTGAATGTCACAGATTAGCAGGATTAAGAGCAATTTCAGCATGCTTTAGGCTTTTGCTTACTTCCTCACTCCTTAATTCTCCACCCATGTTCCTCTTGTTGAGGTCTGTTCCACGCAGCAGCCCACTGTAGGCTACCTGCTTGAACCATTGCAGAGGGAAAATAAGCAGACTCTGCTTTTCAGGAAGGGATTGTAATTAGGTTCATATTTTAAAGGTCATTATTATAATATGTAGCAGGTTTGAGTTACAGAATAGACCTTTAAAAATAAACTATTTTTAGGAACATACAGTGCTGGAAAAAACTAGCAATTATTTGGTTCTAAAATGGAAGAAAATTAAGTAGTATAATGCATGGGGATGTTCCCTATACCTGCTTTTCTGGACTATATGTTAATTAAGGTCTTAAATAGTGGGACAGTAACGCTGTTTATCATTGATTTTAAACCTTAATGCTATGTTTAATTACATCCCTCACTAGTTTTGGAAGCTGAGGCCCTGAAATACAAAGTTGTTTCTTTTTTTAATAATGTAAATTATTATATATTTAAATAATGTTTTTCTAAACAATGCTGTTTATTATTTTATCCTTAAATCCCTAGGTGCTGAAGTGTTGTATATGAACATGTCTGCATATAATGAAGGTCGGCTTCAGTCATCTTTCTGGATTGTTGATAAACAGCACGTGTACATTGGAAGTGCCAGCCTAGACTGGAGATCGTTGGGACAGGTAATTTAATTAAAAAAATAATCCTATACCCTTTGAGCGTATAATGAGGAAAAAAGTAACATTTTGAGGCCAGCATGTGGAGATGGATAGCATTCTCATAGTTTGCTGACAAAATTGCTATCATCAGAAACTGTGCTGCCATGGGTTTGATGACTCTTCTGTGTTGGCGAAAGTATATTGCTGTAAATTTTACTACTTTTCTTTGGAATAGCTATCCTCAACAGTCATGCTTTGGGTTAGATTTAGAAAAATTATTGCCTTTATTGAGTTCTTTGATTCTGTGTTTGAAGATAGTAAGTTCTAGTTCACTTATTGTAAAAAAAAAAAAAAAAGTGGGCAAATCTGTTGGAAAACAAACCAGTATGGAAACTCTGTGGTAATGTCATGAGCATGACTTAGTCCCTCTCATCTGCCATTTAAATAAGGAAAAGACAAATTTGGAAAGAATTCCAAATGGATAGTGGGTATTAAAATACCACCACCTTTGAGGAGGGAGAGATTTATGAGTGCAGAAGGTCAAATAGCATAATGTCTTTGAAGGCTGTATGTATTAGAGAGAATTCCATATTTTGATTCTGCATAAACATGAGAATTGAAGGATGTAGACTAAGGCCTCTGCCAACAACCAGTGCTGAGGACTCTTTACAGTCTACAACCATTTTGAAGAAGTAATTCATCAGTGATGCAGCTTATCTGCCTTCTTGTAGGTATCTGTAGCTGTTTTCTTTCTGCAACAGTCTCAGGATTATTAATAGCTGTCATGTTAATTTTTCCTACATACCACTGACTGTATGAGGCTGCTGTTGGTCATATTTAGGACGTGGAGCCTGTGCTTTTAGATTTCAGTAATTGAAACACACAACAGAGGGGAAAAAAGAAGCAATCTTAGGCAGTTATTAGTTGCAGTAAAAAAGCTTACTTTCTAAACATGAGGAGAATGTTGGAAACACATGAATAATTTTTAACAGATTCAATGATTTTGTAAAGAAGAAAGCATGTGTTGGTTGTGTTGAAGTTTTTAAGGTTTGTTTTGAGCTAAGTGACTGAAAGTCTGAATAAAAACAGATTAACCATCTTAGTAGAGTGAGTAAATACAGTTTTCACAGAATCACAGTGTGTTAGGGGTTGGAAGGGACCTCGAAAGATCATCTAGTCCAACTCCCCTGCCAGAACAGTTTTGCTGTTCCTAGGTGTATTAATTTATTTAAAAAGTAACTTTTTTAATCCTTACAAAGGCATCTGGAAAACTGGCAGGAAAGAGGATGTCGTTAGCAAATCAGAGAAAGCCTTTCCTCAAAGTACGTTGTATTTTTAGTCAACAGAAGAACATATAGTTTGGGCTTTTGGACAGTTTGGAAATTAAATGTTTATACATTGTCTGTGCCTCATGAGCTAAACTGTTCATATGTCAAAACAAAATAGCTCTTCATTAAATTATTTAGCTTATAAATAGTTTAGCCTTGAAGACTCTTCTAATTGTGATTTTTCAGTACTGGTAAGAATAATAAATGTGCAGAAAAGCAGCACATCTACCACACAGATTATTATATTATGTTATATTTATTATGTTATATTTATTATCTTTATTATATATTGTGTTTATGATCTTTATAACAGATACTACAATTCCTTATAGGTTTGGTCTTCTCATACTGAAGTAAACCTTAACTCTTGTAACATACCTACGTTAAACTTTGCCAGTGCTTTGTGGGCCAGTGTTTCAAATATGATTCCTTGCTATTAATTTTATCACTCTTTTCTACATGCATTTAGACTCCTTTTTTCATCTTACTGTCATATAACAGTATATTTTTATATGTAGAGATAAGATGAAACTCAGAAGAGTGTTTGTACAGAGCAAAAAGAAAACACTCTGAATTGCAGTTAGAGAATCTGCTTTCAATTAGTTGAGAAATGTATACTGGGGTTTCAGAACAGCCTAAGGAAATTAGAGGCTTGGCTCCAGTTGACATCAGATATGAGTATCCAATTCCCTTACCCCAGAGTTACAGGTTAATAAATCAGGGCAACTTTCAAAGACATCTGACGTGCAATCCTAAAATAATAATCTGTCTTAAACTTCTCTTTTCACATAAGAGGCAAAATAAGCACAGAACTCTCTCATTTTATTCTGAGTGCTCTCCTCGAGGAAAATGCTTTGCACATGCATGGGACCTAATCTTAAAACCCACGGTGAGCCACGCTGTCACTAGGGAAATACATCTCCCATGGGTTCTCATTATCAGAGTCCCAGTGTAGCTGCAAATGAGCGATCAGGTCCCTCATCTCTTCTCTCAAAGCAGCCTAAATAAGTAAGAATTTAGTTTAACTGGGAAATAGCAGAGCAGGTAGTGCCAGGCCTGGGCAGACCCATGCCCTTGCACTTGCACTGCCTGCAGTAGCAGGGTAGGGCTTCTGCAGTTTTGCAGTAGGAGGCAGGGAATCACTGCAGATGCCACTGCACGTTTCCTGTTACATCGTGGTTTACCTGCAGGGAAGGGACTGTGAAAAGGCAAACTGGGCTGTTGATTAGTCCCATATGGTCTCTTTAGAAGCTCACCAGACTTTTAGAGTAAGAGAACTTGTGGTTATTGAATCAGCAAACCACTTTGGCCAGTATTACTGGATCTTGACAGCAAATCTCAGAATAAAGTAGGTTTCTGCTATTCTAGAAACATATGGTACTTTGGCCTATCAAGCACAGCAGTTGTCTTCTCACTCAAAACATCCAGTATGAGTCAGTCACCTCTAGCTAACAATGTCTCATTATTCAGCAGCACAGTTCCAGTGTAAATTATGTGAGTGCATCCAGTTTCACATGTAATAATATCTAAAATGCAATGAAAAGCGTAAGATTGTAACTGTGCATGGTTGTCATATATTTTGTATGCCTTCCTCTGTATTTTCTATGTGCGTGTTTATTGCTTCCTCTGTACTGAACCTTTGCATACATTCAGGCCAGTGCACTGCATAGTTCATACAGGAGCACCTACCTGCTTCCCTGGTGTGGCAGTTGTACTAGAGAGTTGCAGCAGGTCTCTACAGTATTTCACCCTGGGCCATAGTCCCAGATCCTTCCTACCTCTTGCCTTCTAGGGGCCTAAAGTTGTAGAACTTCTGTGACATAGCAGTACAGAGCATTTAATGTAGGGCAGCTCAGCATACTAGAGAATATTTATGCAAGGATGCTGTGGTAGATTTAACTGGATTTTATGGCTATTTTATTCCTTTGCAGGGGGATTAAAAAAAAAAAGTCCGTTAGTATCATTCTTCTCTTGGGAGCCTGAGTCTAAAGTTGAAATAGTAATTTTGCCTTTAACAGCTCCGTAGAAAACAACATCAGGACTTACATGCCCAAAGTGTCAGCTTTGTTTTTACAGTCTTTGTGAAGAGTTCTCTACATTTATAAGCTGGACACTAGAAGTCATCCTTGTATGAGGCTTACTGAGTTTTGTTGCCATTTTCTTGAGTTGCGAGCACTGACAAGCAGCAATACTGGTATTTCCTTTAAAAGTAAATTTTTTTCCATCAAGGAGAGATTTTGATGTGCTGCATACATTACTTAAGGAATAATCTTTAGAGTTGCGTATATCCTTGTGCCTTTGCTGTCAAAATTTTAATACTTGCCAAAATTTCAGCTTTTAAATTATAGGCAAGTCTGACAGCACATCATTACTTTTCAGGTAAAACTGTGGTTCAGTTAGGTTGCAAGTTCACCAAAACTCTAATAATTTTGGCAGAAATGATCTATGCCAGCTCTCTGCTTCAGTCTGAAATCGGACTCCACAGGCAAATGAAAAGAACTGTTTAGACTCCCTGAAAACAGGGTTTTACAAAAATTAGATGTTTTTTCATTCTGTTCTTTGAACAGATCTAGATTTTGTGTCAAGGATTTGTGTCATCTTTTTCTGTTGTTCTCAGTATACTGCAAATATTGCCCAATTACATAACCTGTTTAAAATTCTGAGTTGTGAACACACGGAGTTTTTACCACTTTTAGACAGGTGCTGCTTTCTTAGATATAGTAAGCTGTGTAAGATTTTATCGGTGAAATAATATTTCTACTAGCTTAGTTTCTTTCTGGTAAATTGTTGTAAACTGATAAAATGATGCAAAACCTGTATAAATAAGTCTTACAGGTTCACCAGCTTGATGAAATACATCCAGAGAGATGCTTTCTTATTCTTTGTAGTGCCATTCTGCCTTCAAAATGTGATTTATGGGGGGTATTAGAGGAGGAAAATTGAGATAAAATTTTAAATCACATTTTGAAGTTCTTATTTCATATAGGAGGTCTATGTGATCAGCTGTACAACTTCCATCTTCCACTTCAATGATGTGCATTCAGTAATACATGCAATTGATAAAGTATTTTCCCAAGTTCCCAGGCTCTTACCTACTAAGAAGTTAGTTTTGTAACCATCAAACAAGCCAAGCAACACCTTTGGGCCGTAGCTGTGCAACTTACTTAAGTATATATTTAAGGTAACAACATGTTGAAGTCTCAGCAAAATATGCGTATCTATGTTAAAATGTTTGGCTGAAAAAGTATTCACTCAAAGATGCCTAAAATTAGGTACATATACTGATTAAGTTTTGCCTGTGGTTTGAACTAATAACAATTGAGGTGGCCATGGTGCTGTATTCTAGTTTCTAGTTTCTTGACCAGGTAGCTTATTAATGTACTTAAATGAAAGAAATTGGTTATATAAAAGTTGTTATAATTCATAACATTAATGCAGAGTAAGAGCTAACAAAAGGTGTCATATATTTCTTTTATTCCATGACGCTCTCCAATAGTTCCAGCAAAACTTGAAAATGCATTTAGCTCCTTAATTCCGTTAAGAAGTGTGAGGTTTGTAGTACAGACAGAACCTTTAATCAACTCAAGAAACACTTTTGGTTCTCTTAATACTAACAACATTTTTGGAAAAGTTTTATTCACACATGAATAATTGAATCCAGTGGGCAAACAACTGTTTTAATGGATTAGTTGAACC